AAGGATTTAAATGTGCCTTATAGTCTGAAAAATACAGTAACTATTAAGTATCAATTTTCAGCATAATTTTAAAAATCCATTTCTAGGTACTTCCCTCATTGAGTTGTCTTTCTTATTCCCCAAATCAGCTGAAAAATGAACAGTGACATTTTTGAGTGTCTTTAATCACCTTCCCACCAAAAATAACACATACTAAGTTATGTTTAGAATATTTTTCTTAAGTAGGCTGTGGCTGTGAATGTTTATATATGTACAGGTGATTTAGAGTTAAAGGGATCAAAGTCTCAAACATGAATCTAATGAGGCCCACTGCGACACAGATATGTTACAGAGATTGTCACTGCATCATAAAATGGTATGAAGCGTAACGCATACACTTTCACAAATCACACTCACGCTGACGGATGTGACAAATATTTCACCCCTGCGCTCGAGACGTCTGCCATCAGCCTGTCTGTTTGTCTGATACTCTGGTGCAGTCTGCTGGGAAACAAAGCTGGAAACTCAGATTTATGGGACTCTGCAATTAATCTGAAACCGCATCATTTAGTTTTACTTATATCCCTACTTGTGTGGGTGGCAGACTGGCTTTGAACAAGCCTTGATGTGAGTTTTAGCAGAGGAGAACCAGTCTGGTGTTGGTCCTAACTTACTGGGACTGGAACTGCTACAGGATTTCTTTTGGATGGAAATCATGGGCTTGGCCGGCTTCCGATCAAACCCAGCTCTGATCAACACAAAGCATGTGAATTTTGAAAAAAGTAAATAAATAAAAATAACAACCTTTGCTTACTAAAACAAACTGTCATGAATTTAAGGCCTGTGGTACAGATTCACAGATTTTGGTCAAACAAATGTAGAGCAGAAGAATTAAAAGATGTCACTGACTTTTATATTTAAAGAGGTGATCATTGGGGGCTTATTTTATTTTTATTTTTTTTGCAATACCTTTTAATCCAAGTCACTTATGAAAGCATTTCATGAAACAATGTTCAGCCAACAGCCGAGTCTAAAGGCCGTTAAACAGAACTTCTCATTGTATTTCAGATAACTTCAAAGAATCTTGTAACCATCAGACTGAACAAAAGTCCCTCTATTTCAAATTTTAAGAGAAAAGCAACCTTTTTTCTCTCAGAGCCAACTAAATACCTAAATGTGTTATTATGAAATATTTCAGCACAAACAAAAAAGTTAATAACTATGAAACTGTTTAACATACTGTTTGTGTGCTTGGCTTACGCAGAGGTCCAATTCCAGAGAAATAATATTTGCTGTAGCAAAAATATTTCCCTTCATGAATGGTTAAAGTATTCATTCATTCATTCCACATCACTTAGATTACATGTCAAAAGTTTCTAATGCAACTTTGTGGTCAAATCCTCTGCTAGTAAGTTTGTAAGAGTTTTCTTTCAGCTTACGATACTTGCAACTAATTGATTCAATTTCATTTTAAACCAACATGAACATTAGATCAGAGTGAGCACAGGTGAACTTATCACTGAACTCCAGATTTTGAACGCTATCTATAAAAACTATCAACTTTTTTTGTGTGTGCTACGTTCACAACTTTTGCAAAAATCACTTCATTCGAATTCAACCTTCTTTTTTCCAAGAAATAATGCTTAGTTTTGTGATTTATTCTGTAGCAACTGATCAATACATACACACACCTGGAGCTAGATAGCAGGACAAAGAAGGGTTGGTACACAGGGGAGAAATGATCATTGATAATCACATAAATTAGGGCCAGTTATACTGAAAAAGAAATTGATTTGTTCAGCATTTTGTCCCAGCTCCTCATGTTTCAAAAGTGCAAATAAATGCCAAATGTCTGCATATGGACCAAATGAAACACTGGACCAAATAAAAATAAAAAAAAGAAAGAGAGAAGTCACAATACAAACAAGAGCCCTCCAAGGCTGTATATTGTACTTGTACCAAAACTGGATTACAAGTTAAATTAAATTCAGATCAGAATCTGGTTTCTGGTTTATTCTAAGTTGAAGCAGCTTCCATCATGATGTTTTATCTAAGTCCATCCATAACGTTTTGAATAATTCATCCACAATGCCTTCTTGTCTGACACAGAAACTGCTCTCCAGTCAGCTCTTATAAAGGTGCATGTTTGTGTTGTGTTTTGTCTGAAGCAGACCTTCGGTGTTGCATAAAGAAATTTACTATAGACTGTGTGCAGGGTGTGTGTGTGTGTGTGTGTGTGTGTGGGGGGGGGGGGGGGTCATCTAGCACCATGTAGGATGTTGGAACATGCATTTTGGGGGAAATTACATACAGTAATGACTAACCTGAGGGTCATTTCTGTGTAACATACACTTAAGCATGACTCAAAGCTTTGATTAACGTCACACACTCCCAAAACTTACACTTGCAACACAAACAAAGCCACGTTGGTGAGGTTGAAACGTATGGAATCCATTTTTGAAAGCGTAAACTTGGATTTTATCACACTTTAAACTATTACATAGTATTAACTCACATCTGCTCCACACACGTTCTTAGCAAAAGCAAACCAATCATCGTTACGATGCTATCTAATGAGAATCCTAATTATTAACAAACACACAAGCATCTCTTACATCTGCACTGTGGCTGTTCACACCTTCCCTAATGTGAAACACACCGACATGCAGATTTTGTAAAACAAAACAAACTGTATGGACTCGAGACGTTTTACTTCACACCTCATATTGTAAAGTCTAGCAGGAGGTTTTCCCAGATTCAAGCAGTCTAAATGGTCCAGACCTCCCTGTGCGGGTTTCCTTTCCTGTTGTTGATAAAAATGGTGATAAGACAAAAACCAACACGGGGTGATAAACACACGAATGGCGGAAATGCAGAAACGTTTCCCAGTCTCCCATATCTGTGTGTCTAATAGAGGGGCCTCCACTAATTCTTGTTGCCCCCTGGAGTACAGGAAGGAAGAAAGGCTTAGAAACTGTTTATTTAGTTAAGTGACATTGTATATTTCTTTTTTTTTCCAATGAGCTTGCATTTCAGACCTGTGAAATGAATAATACAATTCATCATCTGTAATAATAATACAGTTTATAATACAATACAATACAATGTAATTATAATACAATTTAGAGATATAGTTCAGATCTTTGCAACCAGTAAAATAAGAATTTTTCAAAACTTTTCACAGATTTCTACATCAAAAGATCGAGGTTCAAGGTTCTTTACTGTCATTCACATCACATGGTACATGAGGTGGAACAAAATTGTGTACCCAAGGTTCCAGTTACACCCAACAATAGCAAAAATATAAAGTATAAAAAAGAAACAATATATAAGGATCTAAGATATACACTAAACAACAATATTGTAATATAATACGGCATATTAAACAGCAGCATGAAAATGAGTCTGCTGTGAGCAGATGGGTATGAATACAGCAGCTTAAAGGTAAGAAATCAGCAGCATGGATAATCAGCAGCACAGATAAAGTGTCAAATCTCCAATTAAAATGGCATTACTGTGATTTTCCTGTAAGGTATTCATGAGTCTAACAGCTTCAAGGTAGAAGCTGTTCCTCAGTCTAGTGGTTCTACACTTAATGCTCCACAACCTCCTGCCTGAGGGGAGCGGGGCAAAAAGTGTGTGTGCTGGGTGAGTGGGGTCCTTCATGATGCAGGTGGTCCTCTTCCTGAATCTGGAGGTGCAGATATCTGTGATGTTGGGGAGACTGGCTCCAATAGACTTCTGTGCAGCCTTCACCACTCTCTGCAAAGCTTTTCTCTCTACAGCTGTGCAGCCTCCATGCCACACATTGATGCTGGAGTACAGGACTGCACACCTGTAGAAGGAGGTGAAGACTGAGCTTCCCAGACCAGCTCGTCTCAGCTGCCTGAGGAAGTAGAGTCTCTGATGAGCTTTCTTGATCAGGCTGGTGTTGTTGCCCCAGCTGAGGTTGTCATTCAGGTGCACACCCAAGTACTTGTAACTGGAGACCACTTCCACCACATATACTTTAATGTGGGGTGGGGTGGGGGTAGGTGTGTTTGCTCCTGAAATCCACAATCATCTGCTTCGTCTTTTTTACATTGATGTGAAGCTCTCCAGGTGTTCCACCTCCTGCCTGTAGCTGGACTCGTTGTTTGTGATGCATCCCACCACCACTGTATCACCTGCAAACTTTACAATATGGCAACCTGGATGAGTAGGTGTGTAGTCATATGTGAGCAGAGTGAACAGGAGGGGGCTCAACACACCGCCCTGAGGGGAGCCAGTGCTGAGGGTTCTGGTGGAGGAGAAGTTGTGGATCCTCACAGACTGCTTCCAGTTGGTTAGGAAATCTAGAACCCAGTTGTATAGGGAGGGGCTTAGCCCTAGTGTGAGTTGTTTATCCATCAGGGTCTGGGGAATCGTGGTGTTGAAGGTGGATATGAAGTCCACAAAGTGCATACAAACTGCTCATGTGTTAGTTTCTTTGTAGCATTAACCAAATAACTCCTGAACCATTGGACAGGTTTTAATAAAACTCAGAAGGTAATCACTGAATAGCCATCTACAACCCTTTAATTTTTGGAGTCAGCCCAAGTTAACATGGCCTCCACAGCTAATCATCTTTAACCAACACAAAAACGGCTAAAAACTTGGTCCATTCTACAGAGAAGGAGCATTTTGGTGTGGTAGTAGCTGAGAGTTACTCTCCACACACATTTTGAGAGCTACCAGATCTCACAGTAGTATGTGACATTGTTCAGAACGTCATTTACAAGGTTTGAACAAAACAACTACAGCTCTGTCCCTTTTCAACACAAGATGATCTTTGTTTAAAATTCAGGCAGGGAATGTGGCAGGTGAAATGGATTTCGTCAACGAATGCTAGACCCTTGGATATTACCATTAATTTGAAAACAGCCTGAGCTTCTTGGCATATTCACTACTCGATCCATGCTCTTGACACGTCTGAATAAGAACAGACTGCAGCAGCTTTCCAAATCCTGTGAATTCTCATTCATTTTCTGGTGTTCCTCCAGCCTAAAGGTGGACGTCTGTGCAGCAGTGAGCGGTGTGGGGATCCCCAGCTCCGTAGGTAAGCATTTCTACACAGTGGCTCTGTTTGAGAACGAGGGAAAAGGAGGAAACGTGTCAGAGTGATTAAAGAGTCAATGCCAGATCCAATGTACATCTCCATAGTATTTCCTGCAGACAAATTACTGCTCTGTAACAACATTCAGATGGAGAAAAAAACAAAGCATGGAGATATTTATGGAGCACATAATTCACTGAAGGTACATTGTTTCCACTGTCTGATGATTCTCTACAGGGTTAACACCTACACAGAGATCGTTGCTGATTATTTATTGGATCAGAAGCGGTGGATTTAGGAATAGCATTGTCTGGTCGTCAGATCTTTTTCTTTATTGCTGTCCTCTGTCCAGATCTGCGAGCCGAGCTTGAGCTGGATTGGTTGAAAGGCACCAGGGGTGGTGTAAAGAGAGTTCTCTTCCTGGACACCGAGCAGCCTCAGCGCACCGGGCTCCTCAGACTCGGTCACAGCCGCCCACGTTCGTGTCTGAGCTACACGATTTATCTGAGGGTGAGCAAACCACATCCTGCACACTCAGACAGGCTCTGATTACTGAGCTGTGCAGAGAGAAGCTGTGACTCCCCAGGAGGAATCAGCTGTACTTACCGCGAGAAGAAAAAAGTTGATTGGTGTCGCACCTTTTGTCTGTGTCTACAGGAAGAGGATGAGTTCAGGGACAAATTGACCCCCATCTCACTGGCTCTGAACTACAGCCTGGCTCCACCGTCACGTGACCAAACACTCCCACCTGTTCTCAACCAGTACAGCAGCACCTTCCTTCAAGAGCAGGTGGATATATGTCCTGTCCTCTGTCACCTTTTAGATCAACATGCACTTCACAACAGAGATTTCATACGAGCACATTTGATTATGAATTGAGAAATAATAAACCCTCTTTGAGGTATTTAGCATCAAACTTTTCAGTTATTTTTGTTTGTCTATGCCAGTGGTCTGCAACCTGTGGCTCTGGAGCCACATGAGGCTCTTTAGTCCCTCTGCAGCGGCTCTTTCATGCTTTGACCAAAACTAACTTAAAACTGGATTTTACTGGTTCTTATAACAATAAAAAGGGCAAGTTTTAACAGTTTTCTTGTCATTTCCTTTGCAAATATGTGAATACTAGAACTAATACAAGGAGTAAAACATATTCACTTTCACTTTATGCTTTATTTCTTCAAAATAGGATACTTAATTTTTTCACAATTTCAAAAAAAATATCACATAGCCCTGCATAATTTGTTTTAGTTTTTAAACATTGGGCAAGACCATGTTATTTTTCCTTCTTTAGAAGAATCTTGTGTTTTTATAATGTCAATGTAAAAATATCAATAAACGTTAAAAATCATTAGATATTTTCAGCTTTAATGTCACCCCTACTGGTCAGAAAACACCGTCCAACAAACTTATAATTGATAACCACAGTTGTAACAGGTTTTGTGGCTCTGGACACGTATAATTTAGTGAACAAAGGGGCAGAAATGGCTCTTTTGATTGTAAAGGTTGCTGACCCCGGTCTATGCTGATATGTCCCACACTGCAAAACAACGGCACTGAGCACGGCATGCCACAGCAAAGAGGGCAAACAGTTTAAAATTATTGCTTCTTCTCAAAGCAAGACGGCGACATTTCCATTTCCACATCTGAGAAATAATTATTTCCATTTACAATGAACACAGCAGCAATTAACTAAAATCCCTCTTAAATGTGAACCTAAATTAAAAAATATCCTGATGCATGCTCAATAATCCAGGTAGAAAAATCTAAAAAAGTTAAATCTGGTCCTCTGGACATTCAAAAGAACCCAAAACAAAGCAAAACAACAAAAAATGTAGAAACGTTTCGTCTCTCGTCCGAGAGACTTCTTCAGTCTGAGGTGCTGTTTTCAGCTCAGTCTCTTAAATAGCACCTATT